ACAGATTTGCTTAATCACATCAGATAAGAAGAGGTACATTCCAAAGGTATTTTTTACCAGAAATAAAGAGCCTACTGTTCAACTTTATACTATTTTCTGATCGAATTTGCAAAGGGTAAGCCTGTGAAACAAAATAGAACATTCAGCTACTGGGTGAATAATACCTTGGTTGTTCATATACATGCTTATCCTTGCCTTTCTTATCCTTTCATGAGTTTTGAGGAAGTGTAGATAGAAAACTCCAGGGTTATTAAGATTAAAAAATGCTCTATATGAATGCCTCTGGGACCAAAAGGTACTTTAAGGGTACTGAATGTCCTCTCAAAGATCATAGAACCTGGACACGTTACTCTAAGAAACTAGTTAGAACACTACTATACATAAATGTCTGGTACATATTAAGTACTTATAGTATACTTTTTCTTACCTTTTTCTTCTTATCTTTAAATTGTTTGATCAATGTGAGTAGATGTTCAACAAGAAACATGAAATACAAGCCTCCTAGTGCTGTCAGACCCTTCCATGTGGAATCAAAATAGGTACTTTCTTCTATGTTTTGAGAAGACAGATGACTGAAGAGTGGTCCTCTTTTCATTTCTATTGCCGGTTCTTCATGGTTATGACTATGATGGTGACTTGCATGAGACTAAAGTCAAAATGATATGTAATTTATAAATTAGTTTCACATGTGTCAGAAGAGTTGGCTAAGACAGTAAGATCACATTTGAAACCATTCTGAATTAGGCAATTATTCAGATACTTCAGAGTTGAGGGAAAGTGTAACACATTAAAAACAAAATGACCGGGGAGGGGGGAGGTTTGACAGAGGGAGGGTAAAAGGTGGGATCACACCTATGGAACGTAGGACAAGGGTACAAGTTAAATCTGTGAAGTGTAGAACATAGATGTTTTGGCACAATAATCAAGTAAATGAGGTGAAAGCTATGTTGAATGGTTTAATGTAACCACATTAGATTGTATAAAAAAAAATCAGCACATTGTATCCCATACATGCATGAGTGAATTCACGATCTATGTATATTTGACTTAATAAAATAAAATTAAAAACAAAACAAAATAAAATGATCAACAAGCAACTAGCTCTCTAGTATTTAATGTACATGATGGGCTATGGCACTTAACAGAGTGGGTCTGTTCAGTGTACAGATAGACACATTCCCCAGGGGTCCTCATAACAATACATAGGCAGTATTTTCAATGTTTGACATATTACCATGGCCACAAACAGCAGGAAACTGCTGGACATAATGGGCACACAGTATCTACTGCTTGTATTGTTGGCTGAAAAGCCCATAGCAATGTCATCAGATGGGTCTTGTAAAATCCTAGTCTGTATGTAGCGTTGGGCCTCGGAAGGCACCTGAGATGCAGGGGCTGTGATGCATTCAAACACTTGAGTGCAGGGGTAGCCGCTGCTACTGAGTGTTAGGGAGCTGGTATGAAGCACACTAGCAGAGGTGACACCAGGGGCAGGGCAGGGTGGGGGCATCCACAGAGAACCACCAGTGCATGCATGTGCCACTTTGTGCTGTGGGTATTCCTGAACATCCACTGTCCGGTGGTCAGGGAGCTTTTCACAGCAAAATAGTGTTCTTTCACTACTGAATGGAACATATGATCTATAGTGCTCTAGGAACAGAATGACTTTCTTTTCTCACTTACGTAAAAATCTTTAAAAGAAATCTTAAAAATGAGAGCCAAATATTTTCTACATGAGCACCTATCCCAAGTATATAATGGAAAATAAATTTCACTTTATTGAACTTTTATTGGGTGTCAAAAAGTACAAATCTCTAAATATAGATATAAATTCAACTCTGAAGAAAACATCTTTAAGTTTCTTGGCTAAAGGGTCACATATTTTATTTCTGCGGCAATTACACTAACAGGTAAGTAAATAATTTACATTGTCGCAATGTGTCATAGTACTAACACCTGAGAAGAATTTGTCTCCTTTTATAAAGTAGGTTCCAAAAAGTTAAACTGTCTATATTTAGTAAATTCCCTTAAAAAGAAAAGCAAAATATGTGAACATGTATTAAGATCTACCACAAAAAGGCAGCTTTCAGTTACCAATTAAATATATCCCCCCCCAACACATAGTGAGGAATTTGACATTTAAAAAAATGTTTTTGAGACAGGGTCTTACTCTGTCACTGAGGCTGGAGTACAACAGCACACAGCTCACTGCAAGTTATGAAATATATAGAGGGTACCAAAAAAAATGTATTCACATTTTAAGAAAGGAAAAAAAATTTACACCATTTTAATAGAACATGAATACGGGTCACCTCCAGCCACCTCTAGTCCACCTCTCTTATAATTCCAAAAGTCAAATGTGACTTGAGTATTACAAATTTGATACATTATTTGACTTTTACAAAGAAAATTATGCTTACTTCTGAAGAGAGATAAAGTTTGTGCTTAGCAAAGTGGTTTGCTACTTTCTCTTTCGCCCACAAAGGGCACAGAAAAATAAATAAAAGAAATGCTAGATTTTTTGTCTATTTTCACAGAGGATTTGAAAAACAACTTCCTGGACAGTACCAAGTAGAATCTTCACGTGAGCATGTACACAATTTCTAGAATAAAAAATAAATTATTTCCATTTATATTTGTTTATAAAACATGTGTTGCTCTCAGTTAAGGAATTTGAAAAAAAGAGAGCATTCTTTATTATGTTCCTTAGTGTAATAATCTCTGGTAATAATTTTTGAAATTTTTCATCATTAAAAAGTACATCAATTCACATATATATTTTTGAAAAGTTAAGCCTCATAGGTATCAAAAACTTAAGAACACTGACATATTGCAATATAACTCATCTGAACAAATTATTTCTTCCCTTTAGTTTTATGTTCAAGAAAATTTTAATCATAAGAAATTAGCTTAGACATCTACACTAGGTTCTAACAGATATGACAGAAGATAAAGCTTGTCTAGTTCCGAACAAATTTCTTCACAGGTTCATCATGTGCAAGTAATGGTGTAAGGAGTTCAATTTAATATGTTTCAAAACATTTTGCGGTTCTTTTCTATAATGTGATGTGGTATTTTCTACTTCTGAATTTTGTTATATAAATGTAACGACGTTTCTAACAAAAAAGGCACAAAGAACAATAAGCAAATGAATAGATCAAATAATTGCAAATTATATTACAATTTATTGGAACAAAAGTAGCCTATTTTAAGGTCTGGTGAGGGTTAGCAATGATTTAGAAGTTTTTTCCTTTCTTAAAATGTACACACATTATTTTGTACCCTCTATATTTTAAAACCAACTTCTCTGAACCAAATTTCTAATGTTTTTACAAATGGATGTAAAGAATTCTACTACAAGCCAAAAAAATTTTTTTTCAATGCTCACTAATAAAGCACTAATAGGACAAATTACTATACTTACATGTGGAAGAAGGTGTAAAAAAGCATCGCCGCTTAAAGTCCCAACAGCTAATGCCACAAGGAAACTTAGGAGAAATTTGAAAAACACTCGATTCATGAGAGGCACTAAGATAACTCCCAGCAAAGATAGGAAACTGATGATGGAAATGGCTATGAAGCCACCAACCCAGGCTGTCAAATGAAACAAAGGAAAATCATACAATTAAATAAACTTCAATGAGAGATTTTTGTAGAGTAGCAAGCAGCCATGTAAAGGCAGAGAAACTAAAGAAACACAAGTTCAGTGCAAATAGGACGGTAGGCAATAGCATAATAACCAAGAAACTGGTTGGTCAAATGAACCACCTGATGGTACTTAGGAACTGTCCGGCTAAGCTGTGTGGGAAATTCTTCACATGGGGGTGAAAGTGAAAGGAAACCAGGAAGTGAATAATTTCTTCAGTAAACAAGCCAGTTATTCCTTTCTCATTATAGCTTTTGAGCAATGTGACCCTATAGGGGAGCTTATCAATAAGAACATACCAGAAGTAAGTTCCAAAGAAGAGATGAACCCTGACCACCTTCTCAATGACAGGAGATAAAGATCCCAAATTTCAGATGATTTTGACACCTCCTGTAGAATGACTCCAGACAAACCAGAATCTTAAGTTTTATTTTCTGAGTTTTTAAAAAGGTAATGCTAATATCCTTGCTTACTTTCTACCTATCCAGGGCAGAGAATAACTAAAATGACATATTTGGAATTACGCTGAAAAACAAATAGGTTGATGAGAATATAAGGAAAAGTGGAACACAAATGTATCTACTGGAAATTGTTTTTATGTAAAAAAGGCAACTCTACCTATTTGTAAAGAATAGGTCTTTGGAGGGATTTCAGCCTTCTTTTCACTTGTTGTATGAATCAGACAAGATCTGGCATCAATTTGATTGATGATGGCTGGGCAGAGATAGCTGAACTCTGTGGCATTCAGTGGCACCTGGATGCTCAGGCCGTGAGATGTAAGTAGTTTTGATGCATTGAAACACTGAGGAAACAAAACAGTGAAAATCACCAAAAGGCATTCCCATTAGATAATCCCAAATGGTACTTTGATGACACAACACCCTTTCCTGAATGAAGCTACTTCTTTATCTTTTCAAGTGAATGCAGATAAAAATCAACTTTTGTTTTGAGTACTTTGAAACTTGCCTCTGGCTACTTGGAGATACTATGTCTCATGATGGTATCTTTCCTGTCTACTTCTTGGGAGTAGTTACATCACCAGTCTACTTCTTGGGAGAAGTACTTACATCACTAGTCATTTAGAGCGAAAGCCTCAAATGGAACAAGCTTGAGGATAAATGGATTCACAAGCCTGTTAACTCATTGTATAAACCTATTAAGGAAATGAGCCTTAATTTCGAAATGGAGTTTCATTAGAGACTAAGAAATATGCTGCTTTAGTACTAATGCTATCCTAGTTGGCCTAAACAAGCCCAAGACATGTTGCGCTCTCAGTAATGACCCTGCTTGCAAAAACTTAGCTGAGTTTTGTCTACATACCTGGGGAAATCGTTCTCTACAATGAGGGAATATTAAATTATACAGATTACTCTTGCGGAGGGCAACGCTGGTTAATAAAACAAACCTGTACTGACAGGCAGATGTTTTCAACAATTTTAATTGGGAGACTAGCTAAGCTTGAAGGAACTCCTCTATGCAATCTAATCTTCCCTACCCCCCCAATTAGCTTTAGTTCTTGTTTATCTTCTGTAAAGACAGTTTAAACTCCCAGTATTCTCAGTACTTAGAGCAAACTTCATCCCAATGTCGTTATTGCTATGATCATCACTGGTATTCTAGAATTTGTATAGTCATATGCTGGTTTGAATGAAGAACTTTAAGTTTTGCTTATTAAAGTATACCAACTAATTCCTTCTTGGTATCTCTCAGCCAACCTGAATTATGTATGTACAGTCTGGAAGTCTATTTTAGAAAAACCACATGAACTTAGAACCTTGCTGCCCAGAGTCTGCCCTTGTCCAACAAACATGATTATTCTTGGTAGCTTTTCCAATTTCAACCAACCCCCGCAGAAGTTACTGTGGTCCTTCTGCCAAGGAAGTAGCAGTGCTCTTTTTGGCATTCTTTAGCCCCTTTGGTCACACCTTCCCCTAAGACATGGATTTCAACTCCTGCTTTTTCAACCCCTCATTTTCTACTTTTTTTTTGTCCGGGGCTTGGGTTTGAACCCGCCACCTCTGGCATATGGAGCTGGCACCCTACCCTTTTGAGCCACAGGCGTCGCCCCTCATTTTCTATTTTTTATTAGTAACATTCACTTCTACAGACTTTCTCTAAAAATAACCCTGATATCTTCCTATATTTTACATTCATATTAGACAAAAATAGCAGGTAGCAGGATGCTAACCAAACAGCTGTCCCCCAAGTTGTGTATTAGGAATGTTTATAAAATAGCAGGCACACCTTGAGGCCAAGTACCTTGCTGAGAAGATAGAAATTCCCTTTTCAATAATGTTCCCATTTTATTTTACTTTGAACTCCTTACAATTAAAGTAGCAATGACAGGACACACAGGTATATTAAAAGAATGAACAGCGCTTATCTTACCTCCTGAGTATTTTCATTTGTGTTTCTGGAATACATAAAGCCTTTTCGGGGCTCACTCACAGATTCATTTGTTTTCCTACCAACTAGCCGGCTTACCCAGCTCTTTTCTGCGATACTGGGTGGAGTGGAATTGCTTATATCTTTGGGGAGGAGTTTTCCAGGTTTTGGAGTCTCAATTGTTTCCAGATAGTGAGTTCCTTCAGAGACAGCATTATACACAGCTGAGGTCACTTCACTAGCACTAACACTCTCCTTGACATTCCTTCTACCATTGGTGTGTTCTGCTCGGTGAGATCCTTTCCCCTGGCTGTTTCTAGACTCTTTACCTGAACTATCAGAGTCATGATCTGGGCAAAGAGTTTTCCGATTATTTTTACTGGATGCAGCGTGATTATGGTGAGAGTGACGATCGTGGTCAGAATGATGCTCATGGTCAAAGTGATGCTCTCGGTCATGGTGTATGTGGATTCTTTTAATTTTATCTATGCCTATATTTTGAAGTAATTTTCTGAACCCTTCAACTGACAAGGAATTATTTTCTCCATAGCGGTAGAAAAGCTGTTGTAGATGGCGTCGCTGTGTGGTAACTGCCAAGTCAACATTAATGCCAGATTCCCAATTTGGATTAATTTTCTCAGTGGTCTGAGGAAAAGCAGCAGCTGATTCTAGTTCACGAAGGGGATTTGTAACTGAAAGGGTGAAGGTCAGGATTAAGATTACTGACAAATTCCTCGCCATTTCACCTTCCTAAAAAAGAGAAAAAAAAAGAATTCTTGGCTCACTTCTAAAACAACTTGAATTAAGAAACTTCATAGGGAAGATTGATGTCTAATCAAATAATCAAGGTTTCCAGGGTGTCACTTGGTGTGACTAGTGTGGGGCCAGGTACTGCACAGAGAACTAGAGTCCCAGAGTCTACTCTTGCATTGCCCAAACATATGAAACAACTAGAAAATAGCTGAGTGCTAAGAGATTGCAATTATCAGAGTCAAAGCAATAGTGGTGCAGAGACAAGAGAGATCCACATGGCCATACCCGTTCTGACACCTTCTTACTGTCCTGAGGACAGAACGATTGGAAATAAAACCTAACTACTTGCACTATCATCATCATTTCATAAAAGAATCTCTGAACATCCAGAAAGTAGAAATGATAATCTCAAAATTCACATTAAAAGTTTTTTTTTTTTAAACTAATACTCTCCTTATAAACAAGTTCACTTAAGGCCCCATTCCCCCATCCCATTACCTCAAAGGTGTTTACTTCTACCAGTTTCTTGTGTGTCTGTCAGGATATTTTCTATGCATACTCAAATACATGTGTACTAAATGGGATCTTTTCTCCCGCTTGAGAATGAATCAGACAAGTTGCCATGTCTGTATACACTGATTTACCTAACTTTTCAATGGCTGCTTAATGATAATAGTTCTTTAAAGTAAAATGAGGTCCAAGAAAAACTCATGTTGTTTTTTACATTGCTGCAAACCAGTGGAAAAAAAAAAATTTTTTTTTTTTTTAGAGACAGAGTCTAACTTTATCCCCCTCAGTAGAGTGCCATGGCGTCACAGGTCACAGCAACCTCCAACTCCTGGGCTTAGATGATTCTCTTGCCTCAGTCTCCCGAGTAGCTGGGACTACAGGTACCCGCCACAATGTCCGGCTATAAACAAGTGAAAATTTTAATCACAGTTACTCATCCCCATAATAGAGCTCGGAGCCAAAGGCCTATGTTCCAAAAAGGAGTTAGGAATCAAGTTGGGGCTTGAAAAGCAGAATTCAGTTAAGCAGAGGAAGGTACAGTCAGATAAGCAGATAGCTCAGGATGCAGCAGGTGTCCAGCACCAATGGTGGATGGTAGCCAAACACAGGTCTCCGACAAAAGACGCAGAGGTCAGGTTTCCGACCAAGTAACAGCATTAATGGGACAACCAAGCTCTACAACTGTCTGCTGTTCTTCACTTCATCTGCAAAGCCAGTAAGGCCGTGAAGGAAGAAAACGCATGAAGGAACGTATGTGGAAATGCTCCCGAAACTCCATGTGTTTGCACGAGTGCGGTTTATCAGACTGGGAGCAGCGGACAATGGAGGCACAGTGCATAGCTAGCTAAAGCAGGACGAGGGTCCTCAATCATTCAGAACCTGAAGTTATGAAAATTCTTTCGATAGGCAAAAGAGAATCCTTTGGAAATCATTCCCAGGAGATCGACGAGGAGCGGGGTGGGTGGGGACAAGCACAGGGGGCCGCTCCAAGCCTTTCTCCAGGGAGGATGCTGAGGGCGGTCACGGCCCGTCCGCCGATCTCCTTCCCTGCAAGCTGGCGTGTGTTGGAGGAAAAAAGAAAGCAGAATGAAAAGGCCTTGGAAAAAAGACGAGTGGAGAAAACGAAAAGGAGGTCACAAAGCTTTGCCTCTCAGGGCTTTCTAAACAGTGCCTTTTTGGAATATGGGATAAAAAGTACAAACCGTCTCCTCAAAAAGTCCTCTGCTGGACCCCGACGCTTATCTGGGCACCCCAAGTGGGAAGTCTGGCTCTTTGGGGCGACAGGGCATCTGCGGGGGACTACTCCCGGCCCCCTCTGCAGTCCCCTGTCCCGTGCTCAGGACCCCCGAGGTCTCCGCAGTTCGTCCTGCCCGCCTCATCGCCCCTCTCCTGGCCCCGCAGGACTCACCTCTCCGCCGTCTCGCCGTCCCGCAGCCCGGCCCCGCGCTCAGGTTCGGTTCTGCGGACGGTCCGGAGGACTCGGAACCTGCCCGCGACGGTCTCTCCTACAGGGCGCGAAGAAGCAGCGGTCTCATGGACCTGGCTGCCCCGCGCTCCGGGGGTACCGCCGCGCAGTCACCCGGCAGCCGCGCCCCTCGCTTCTCAGCAGCCGGAGGACAATCACTAATCACTGCCACGCGCAGCGCGCGGCCGGGAACCACCGCCTCCCTCTGCCATGACTGCGGGGCATGCGCAGTGCGACTCCGGAACCCGGTCTCTCAGACCGATCCGCTTTCCGCGTGTTCGCCGACGCCGCGGGGCGCGCAGGGGCGGGAGGCAGGGGCGGGAGGCAGTGACGAGATCTAAGTAGACTGTGAGCAGTTTTGGGGGGCGGGGGGTCCTTTCCTTGATTCCCTCCGCGTCCCTGCGCTTCCTTGAGGCCTCAGACTGGCTCGCCAAGGGCCCCCAGGCCAGCCCCCGTCCGCTGCTGGGGGCCAGGCCGTAAGGGGCAGCGGGAGGTTCCCAATGCCTCCCTGCACGCGAGCCCGGTCCTTCTCGGGAGTCCCGACCTCCGAGGGCCAGGCTTCGCTCGTGGGACAGAGGCCTTGTTCGACACCGCGTGGAGATTAGGGTGTTTAATAGGGAACTGCACCAGCCGGGGCGGGGCCGCCCGAGTCCCGCCCTCGGCCGCCTCCGAAACGCGGGCCGGATGTCGCCCGCAGGAGAAGCGGCCACACTAGTGGTTCCTCTGCGAGGGCGGAAGTGCGCGTCTCGCTCTGGACTGCCGACTCGCCAGCAACATGGTGGCACCCGTGCTCGAGACTTCTCACGTGTTTTGCTGCCCAAACCGGGTGCGAGGTGTCCTGAGCTGGAGCTCCGGGCCAGGAGGACTTCTGGCCTTTGGCACGTCCTGCTCTGTGGTGCTCTATGACCCTCTGGTAAGAGCAGTACCAGGTGCCAGACCCCCGGTGCTTACGGGGCGGAACCGACGGGGCGCGCTGCGGGCGCAGTTGCCGCCCCCGACCTAGGAGGCGTTTCTGGGTTGGGGCAAGGACTTGGGCGCGCCGGACTCGCCCCACGCCGACTGGCACGCGGATTCCTCCTAGGTCTTCGCGGCCCTTGTCCTCCCTGTCAGTCGTGCTATTATCCCCACGCTATGGGGCGTATGATGAGAATCTTATCTGAAGCTTTCCTTGGTAACTGTAGTACTTTTAAGGAATCACTCTGGGTTTTAAAAGAATTGAAATTTAGATATAAAGCCATCGTCCCATAGATGCTGTCTCATTTTCGTGTTTCACTCGTGTTGGTTAATGAAATTTCCTTCTGTTGAATTTCAAAGAGACGTTACCTATATTTTAGCATCGAGAATGGACATTTTTTAAAAAGTGCCAATTTGGGGCAGAGGTCGTAGGGAAAGGGGATCCTAAGCACTGGTGATAAGGCAGAGTTTCGCTGCATTTCACCCAGTTAATTATTTTCTTGACCCTGTCCCTACTCAAGTGAGCAGTTTTGGCGTTCTTTCCAGAGTTCACTGTGATCCCATTCCCACAAGCTAATTTTGGACGACACAGTTTGTGTTTCATCTCAAAAGGAGATTCATTATAAAAAGTAAAATGCTGAAAATTAAAATGCATACCGAGATGGCTATATGTGTTTGTTGTACTGTTTTATCAATTTAATTAAAAATTTCATTATACTCACACCTTTTGCGGATTGAATTTTTTTTTTTTTTTT